AATGATAACTATCAAAACGCCTGCCGTTTGCTATAAATAAATGAATAAATATAATTTTAATGAGCATATAATAGTTTCCTCGATATTTACGTTAGTAAATCATTAAAATAATGATTTTGTGATTGATTAATTAATTAGTGCTGTAGTTTGCAAATCGTTTGCGGAATCTCATCCGCTCTATTACTGTATATTTATAGTTGTGGGTGGAGAGAAAACAAAGCCTTCTCAATATATACCACCTTTTTTCTGACCCTCTGATAGATCATTTACTTCAGATATGGAAAAGTATTGGTTTTCGAGCCATTTCTTTATTTTTGAACAAAGGGTTTACCTCGTTGCCTAATCACGACTTATAAGTTACCACCCTGTTCCAAGGTTCCTTTCAGGCCCAAATAAAAAAACGAATATTATTTTGCTTTTTATTGAGATAATTTAATGGATCCGTTCTCCTATTGAGCTCCACTGCACTTGGGACATTTACTCGATTTAAGGTGGTTGGAATTGCGACAGAATGGATGCATTTCAAAATATAAAACAAGATCGCATTCTAAGAATATATGAAATTCAAGAAATTCCACTGCAAGACAACTAGACAGTGGACATCGGGTAGAATTGGAAAAGTAATAAAATTCATTATTAAGATATTAGGTTGGCAACTAAGTCATTACCGATTTCAAATAAGAAGGCAAATGCGGAATTTTTGTTTAAAAATATAACTTTATTCAAATAGATATTGGCCCTTCTTGTCGATGACCTTTTTCCATCGTTCTGGCAGAGTAAAAATTCCCCGTTCGTAAAATGTCTGGTCTTTGCTATTAAAAAACTGAATTAGGTGTGATCCGACATCATCCGCGTTGTTACAAATTTTACCATTTAAAGAGTTTTGCATGGAACGAAACAAATGGTAATCCGAAGGCGCAAGGTCAGGGCTATATGGTGGGTGTGACAAAACATCCCGACCCAGTTCCAATAATTTTTGCCAAGTAACCAAATATGTGTGTGGCCTTGCGTTATCATGATGGAAAACAACACCCTTCCGATTTGATAATGCCGACCGCTTATCTTCAATTGCATCCTTCAGTTTTTCGAGTTGTTCAACATACACACTTGAATTTATCGCTTGGTTCTGCGGCATGAGTTCAAAATACAAAATTTCTTTGTGATCCCACCAGATTGACAGCATAATCTTTTTTGGTGAATCTCTGCTTTTGATACTGTTTGCGCTGGTTGATCTTGCTTCACCCATGATCTCTTGAGAGTAAAATTGTTATAAACTATCCACTTTTCGTCGCCAGTAACTAGGTTCTTCAGAAATGGATCATTCTCATTGCGTTTCAGTAGCGAATTACAGATGCTAATCTGTTGCGTCAAATGAATTTCCTTTAACTGGTGAGGGATCCATAAATCAAGTTTCTTGACACAACCAAGGGTTTTTAATTTTTTTTCAATGCATGTATGCGACACATTGAGCAGCTTCTCTGCAATATCTCGTGTTGTGCTGTGACGATTTGAATCGATAATGGCCCTGNTTGGTTCTGCGGCATGAGTTCAAAATACAAAATTTCTTTGTGATCCCACCAGATTGACAGCATAATCTTTTTTGGTGAATCTCTGCTTTTGATACTGTTTGCGCTGGTTGATCTTGCTTCACCCATGATCTCTTGAGAGTAAAATTGTTATAAACTATCCACTTTTCGTCGCCAGTAACTAGGTTCTTCAGAAATGGATCATTCTCATTGCGTTTCAGTAGCGAATTACAGATGCTAATCTGTTGCGTCAAATGAATTTCCTTTAACTGGTGAGGGATCCATAAATCAAGTTTCTTGACACAACCAAGGGTTTTTAATTTTTTTTCAATGCATGTATGCGACACATTGAGCAGCTTCTCTGCAATATCTCGTGTTGTGCTGTGACGATTTGAATCGATAATGGCCCTGAAATGGGTTTCATCCACTTCGACTGGGCGGCCAGATCGTTGTGAAATTTTCAGTGAAAAATCACCGGAACGAAATCTTTCAAACCAATTTCGACACTGCCTTTCTTTTAAGGCTTCATCTCCATATAGGCACATAACTTCTTTTGTGCTTGCGATGCGTTCTTGCCTTTTCGAAAGTAATACAATAAAATGTGTCGAAATTGCAGGTCCTGTTCTTTCATTTTTAAATTGGGATAAAAACAAAACTAAAGAACTAAACAAAAAAAATTTGTTACTAATTAACCTAGAAGCCCATACAATAAGAAAAAATATAGGTTAGATGGTCTGGCCACGTTAACAAAACAAAAGAAAGTATAGAGTGAATCTGTCAACAAAAACGGCAATGACTTAGTTGCCAACCCAATATATTCTAACATTTTGACATACAATTTCTTGGTTTGGAGAAAATATTACTAGAAAATGCAAATTAATTTCTTTATGCTGAATGCAAAATATGACAAATCAGAAATAATCTGTAATCATTTAGCACTCATGGAAGCATTCGTTGACATGACTGCAGCATATAGAATCCCTTGCACCCCTGGAGCTTTCTGGAAGGCTCTGAGTGACGATGTTTGTGATAGAGAGCAAGTGAGATCAAGAGTACAGTGTCCTCTCAGTCAATTAGCAATCAGTGGTCATGACATGATTAATGCAGCCCAAATTGTATATACTGACTAAGGTCCTTGTCAATTACACACAGTTCAAATGTGTTCCACGAAAAATCTCTGGTACACAGTCCAAGAAGAGATTAATTTGATTAAGTTAAGAAAGCCATCACGCCTTACGCATTATTTGTAATAGGTAGATTAGCTCTTCCTGGGAGCCATTCAAAACTAATATATCTTGCTTTAAAGATTGATCATCATGAGTCAAGGCTTAATGGTGTAGCAATCCGCTATTTAGGTACCAGCTGTAAATAACGTGTCATAATTCACCAACAATAACAAAATTATGATATTGGAAATATTTAAAATAATATTCCGTTTTGATTTTATCTGAATTCTACATCTTTAAACAATTAAAGTTCACAAACGGGCTTCAACTGGTACTTTGAAAATTAATATTGAAGCAAATTATGGGCAGGCAGTAAATTGAAATAACTGGATTGATTTAAAGCTAAAACATTAATGATACCGATTTAAAAGCAAACATTTTACAAATAGACGCCTAAGTTCCACTTGTATCAGAATACAGTGAAGGAAGATAAACTCTTATTTTTAAGAGCCAAAATTTCCAATCCGAAAGGAGATAGAGAACACGTCATACAAACGTCATGCCTGTTACTTTTCTTCAATCACTGCACCACATTCATAGTCTGACATCGTTCACAGTTTTGCTATTCACCTCCACTGTATCATTCATTATTATTCACTGAAGTCATTAAAGCTCGTCAGATTTAAGGAATAAGGGCAATTATCGTTTGAAAAGCTTAAGAACGACCAGTTGTGGGGTATAAAAAAAGAAAAATTTCTCAAAGCAACATTGACTGTAGTCGAATAATTATTTTGTTGATAATTAATGATGGTTTTTCATTGCCGACGTACCGATAAATGCGCTGTTGCACCACCCGAGGACCGTCGTCGTTCAAATGCTGCAAGACCAGTAGCCGAATTATTCCAAGATGCTGCACGCGATGTCTTCGGAAGTAGACTTAGAGATAAACGCTGCCCAAAACTTGGATTACTTCGCGTTTTATCCTGAGGTCGCAGGTATTGCAGAGCAGCTGTATCAGAGAAAGAATGACGGGAAATTCTTTGAGATAATTTTTCCTCAGAACGCTCATGGTCGTGTAGCGGATTGCTACCTTAGTAAAGCCTGACCGACTCAGAAATCTCTGTGGCAAGTTCTCCTACATCTAGCTAGACTCCCAGAACTAGCTAAGCTATAGCCCAGCTATAAAGGGAGCAGACGTGTAGCACGGAGCACGTTTATTCAGTAGGATTATTGAGGATAAAGTGTACACGTTGGGGGCTTAATCATGATCAGGATGACTGATTAGGTTATACAAACAGAGGTTAATGATTGGTCACTGTTTGTACTGTCGCTGTACACAGAGTTGTACGGCCGCACCTCCCAATCCGTACTGTCGCTGTACACAGAGTTGTACGGCCGCACCTCCCAATCCTGGCATGCAGGCATGCGATGACGCACAAAGCGTTAACGTGCCCCACAGTCGTCAAAAAACCTCATAGTTGCAATATTTCATCCAGATGCCTTACTTATCCATATTCAGTAATCCACTTAATATTTAAATTATGGGGTGGGCGATTGAAAATATCCCAGCTCATTTACAGGGAAATTGGAGTCTGCGATAGACTTACCTCCACGAGGTGCACCCTGGGCAACGTTCAAAAGAGTCTATTAACCGGCATGGGACTTCTGACTTTTGTATGTCATATTCGACTACCTCCACAGTACTCATCTTGCCTTTTTTTTCTGCCTTTGTGTCCCTCTGTCTCTTTCACATCTGCGAATTATTCTTATGCTCCCCCTCTCGACCCTTTGTCACTTTGATGTTCCTCCTCCTCTCTGTGAAACCCGAAATCAGCTAAAGGGCTAATGACGACTATCAAAACGCCTGCCATTGGAAGTAAATATTTCAATTATTATTCAATTATCTATTGAGTTATTAACCCAGCATTTGCTAAGTAGATGAAAGAATACGTTAGGGGGGGGGTTATTTTTACATTTAGCATGAAGGGACATAACATGCACAAAGTTATGTAAACCCACCCGGCAAATTTGATCCTCTTTGAAGCATTGTTTCTGAGCATTGACTGGATGCACGAAGACGGCTTAGGAATTGGCGACTAGAACTCCAGGGAGAGGAAGTTGACTGATTGCCTATTGAGAATGCATTTGAATCTAAAAAAGGGATGCAGACGTTGTTAGGCGTAGAATTAATCGTTTTCAAGTGGAAATCAGTGTTTAAGTAAATGAGTAAATTACTTGCAACTGTCGGCGCATTGCTGCGTTTAATATTTTCCCTAAATGCCTCCTTAAAAGCTGACTTTTCAAGTGATGAGCTTGGATATAACGAATAAATACTCAATGCATATTGAAGAGATTCAAATCTATCGTCAACTTACTATTGATATTATCACAAAGTCCCACCTTTGATCATCGGGAACGCTGTCTAATTTTCAACTCAAATAGGCTAAATGACGTTTAAAAAACAACTTACCAGATGAATGTGACCGCGGTCGAGGTATATTTTGACAATGATTGGGATTTGGTGGACTCCGTGAGAAGTCAATTGTAGGTTGCTGCATTGATATCAATGGTAGATTTCTGTAGTATCCGGTACTAGTTCTTACACGGAAATATGAATTGGTAAGCCAAAATTAAAGAACGACTACAAAAAATCCATATCCACTTCGGCACTCACTATACTCTATTTTAGGCACTAACACGTTTGACTTTGATGATCAATTATTGATTAGCTTAAAACATCAATTGTCAAGGAGGTATACATAACAACCAGTCACTAAGATCGACATAGTATCGAGCTTTACATCTGCGTGAGACAATATTCAATGAAAAAATGAATCATTTCTTGTCTCTTGTTTGAGGAATTGAGTTACTATTTGGAGCCAATACATGACTCACTTGTGACTCCGAAAGTGAATATATTGACTGATACTTTCTGCTTTCAAGAAAATTCGAAAGTATAAGAGATTGTACTTACTTATAGTCCATTATGCCTTCGTCCGCACTAAGACTCTTCTTTCGTGAGTATTCGATGGTCCTCCCACGGTCTATTTGCTCCAGCATCAAACGGGCCACGCCAATCAGCGCACGAAACTGCAGATATTCAAGAATTGATGAAATAAAATTGCAATTTCAAAAACTGGGTATAACTCGTTTGCAAAAAATGGATTTAAATTTGTGAACTTAAAGTACCACTAATTTGTCAACAAACTCCAAGTCATAGGGTGTGTGTGTGTGCGGGCGTGAAATTATACCTCGTTTTAGGACTGGGCATATTTTGAGAAAACAAACTTCCAAATTGAAGGTGTGTGACCAAATCAATGCAACTACCCACAAGACTTCAAGACCGCAGGTTATGCAACAGAGTTCTATTCGGTTTAAGAATTTAAATATATGAATCTTTATGTACAGCTGGGAAATCAGTTTCCACTATGAACTACTTTACAAACGTCCTGCGCAAAGTTGATGCTTAAGCCAAGATATGACTAGCAATGATGGAAGCATTATTGTGGGATTATTAATAATTTAATTATGGGAATCTATAAACATGTGGATTAATAAATGATTATTCAATTACCATCATCTACAATTATTCATATCCTTATTTTATCCAAACCACATACCATTCAATAACTTTTTAACCCCCTAGACCGAAGTGGCGCAACGATTGAAACTGCTCGTAGACAAGCTAGAACTCATCCCTGCAATGTGGACGTGAGCAAATACAAACTAATGCGAATTTCTATTAACACTTTATCATGTTTTGTTTCATTTTTACTCCCCTATTCCGCACATTAAAATAGCAAATAATGGGCTTTGGAGGTTTTCACCTCTACTACTGACAAATTGAATTTCACAGACAGCACCTCTGGCTGGAGTTTGAATACGTGGCTACAAATACCGTTGTGGAGATTTTATCACATTTTCCTAGCTGCTATTTGACATTCAGTTCAAACGTTATACCTTACACGCTTTTGTCCTCACCAGCAATCCGATTTTTATAAGTGAACTCTGATGGTCACTAGTTGACTCATTTTAACTTTAGTAGTTGGCGAACTGCTCCATCCCTCCTCCTCTTAGTGCCCGCTAAGTCTCCATTTTGTTTTTTGCTCACCAAAACGACGCATGCTCTGGTTAGTGAAAAAAAGTGTTCTTGATATCTGATTGCCTATATCATTTCAGCTCTGAAATTGATTTACTCTGCAGCACATGTCAAGTGGAGAGGGAAGAAACATGTCAACATGGCAACACGTCTAAACTTTTTTTCATATATCTTATTTAGGAAAAAGCGTTGCATTGAATTCCATTCAGAAAAAATTGCTACCGGAGTTTTCGAATGTCCGGTTATTTGGAGTTAAGTGTCAAAATGAAATCTTACGGTTTTTCTCTATTTGGGACTGAAGATTTTCAGAAAACCCCGGTAAAATCCCCCTTTTACCTAATATATCTGTTTTGTACTTGATTTTTAGTTTAAATATTAAGTTTATTGCTTATTTTTATGAAAAGTTAATTTCCTGCAAGTACTCTGTGAGGAAAGGAATGCAAAGCTATTCTCATCCAGTCAAATCCACTAAATCAAATTATGACTGAAACAACTGTACGGGTATACAGAAGGGTATTGAAATTCTTCAGAGAATTGCTTGCGCAAAATTCTCTCACAGGAACTTACTTCATTAGGACTGAGCTTCTTGGAGATCAAAAGAGGTATTAGTGGAGGTAGCAGTTTGGTTGCAATGAGGGAGTAAGAAATGTGGAACTTGCAACTGCAGAGCACCTTTCGAAGGATACCTTTAAAATTAAGCGTATATTAATTTAAACAGCTAAACAGTATGGTAATTCACTAATCACTTAGATGATTGTCCATCTGAAAAAAAACAAATATTTCTTTTTATGATCAAAGCAGTGGGTAAGTAGTCTACTCGCTTCTACCGCCTGTCAGGCCTTTAATTATCATCTGGCTTATCGCTAAATTTGACATTTATTTGTGTCACCAAAGCTTTTCCAAAATGTGCTAATTCTACTTTAAATCCTCATATTCATATAGACAAAATACATTAAATTAAAGTAGATTCAATTGCATTTTTACGGCGATTGAGAAAAACTTACATTTGATGTCAATAAATATGTAAAATTTTGATTTGTAACATATTTCACTGATTCTATTTAACCTTTTCAGTCGTAGAAATAAAGAATCTTTACAATTTTCCCACCAATTTTTAAAGGCAGTCTTATAAATTTTATTCATTGACGTGATTTTCAACATCTTTCTGAACCATAGTATTGAAAAAATGACAATTTTTTAATTTCTGGAAGAAATTAGAAGCCATCAATAAAACGTCAAATAAATGAGAATCGCAAAAATCATATAAAGGGATTATTCAAGTATTGTTTTGACTTCTGAAAAGAATAAATGAATTGCACACACTCCGAAGTTCAAATTACTGGAATAGTCTGCTCAAATGTAGCAAGTACTTGTCTACGATACCCCGTACCCATTGGCCATTTTCTATTCACAATAACCATTTCACTTTCATCACTGCAATTTCCCTTTAAGTGGCTGTAACGTGAAGGGGTATTAAGTTTAAACCAATTATCAGTGAGATGTTATAAAATATTTAAGTATAGTAAAATGTTCATATTTATTAATTTAAACAGAAATTTTGTTTATCTAAATTTATGGCATAACCTTCATCGAATTAGCTGAAAAAATATTTAATAGGCCAATAGACCCGTTTACGAATCTGTGAGTGCGTGTGGAAATAACGAAACATAGTACAATTATTTAAGCATTATATATTTCGGATAATGCTTTAGTACTGATGGAAAAAAACAATAAGTATCAAAATTTTGTTACTTGAAAGTCAAATTCGTTTTTGATAATGGATTCCTTAGGACCTGAAAAAAACTTTCCATTCAATTAGGTAACAACGGGCCACTAGACTATTCAAAAATTAATTAAAAACTATTAGAATGAAATTTTTTATTTTTACCTGTTCTTTGGCAATTCTCCAATGAACTATCAAACGTATTTATTGTGTAAAAAAGTATATTTAGTTTGCAAAATGATAACGCTCTAAGCAAGGCTTGCCAAAATATCTGGGACAAAAACGACAGATTTGGAAAAGTTGAATTGAAAATTTCATAGCACGACACGCGTAGGTCTTTTCGTCAGTCATCTGACTAATTCATCAAAACTCAATTGCATAAGCAATCCTGCTCAATTTGTTGTTTAATTTTTAATTAAGAGCCTACTTTAAACCATTAGCTACCTGAAAATTGGTAGCACGATGCTTATTTTCAGTCAATCAGATAATTTAATGTTGCTCTCTGACCAGCATATAGTAACAAAAGGAAACGGAAGTATAAAACTGAGCAGTATTTTACGATTTGGCTTGAAGCTTAAATAGGAGTGACCGATAGTCAGTAACCTGACAGGTAACTTACCGACCACCTTGAGAACAACTTCAATGTTGGCGGTTGGCATTGAGGTAAGAAATGTGAGAAGATCTTTGCTCACAAACATTGGCCTCAAGTGAGATATGAGGCCCTCAATGCACTCCAACATCACGTTTTGGATCTGAAAAATGTTATGCAATATTACCAAATAAGAATTTAATTATAGCGGTTTGATGCTTACAATTCAGTAAATTCTACATCATATGTTCAATAATTTATAAGCATTGATACCCATCCAATAATAATAAAATCAGGAACTCCTATTATATTCCCTGCTCTCGCATTAAATAAGCGAGGCCATACAGATTCATTACGCTCAGATGGACAACTTGCAATAGTTTCGAAATCAATGCTTAATGAAGCATTTCCCGTATTGAGAGTGGCCAGTACATTCTTATCTCTATCTTCCTGGGGTGTGCGATGGACTTACCTCCACGTGGTGAACCCTGGGCAACGTATACTCATACGGCAAAAAGTTTGTTAACCGGCAGTTGACTTTTGACTTCAAACTACCATGGCCCGACTGCTTATCATATTCGACCTTTTTTCACAGTACTCATCTTACCTTTTTCTCTACCTTTGTGTCTGTCTGCCTCTTTTTCATCTGTGAACCGCTCTTCTGTTCCCCACCCCTCGACTTTCTGCTACTTTGATGAACCTTCCCTCTGTGAAGCCCGAAGTCAGCTAAATGGCTAATGATATCTATCAAAATGCCTGCCATTTGAAATAAATAAATAAATCTCTATCTTCCTATGTGTCGGAGAAATCTTGTTTGCAAGATATCGTGTGACTTTGGAGCATTTCCAATCTCAGAAAATTTTTACTATACCTCACTACTAAAAAAAGCCGATCAGTTGGCAGATCGAAAATCACTTCCATTTACGGAGTTAATGACAACTCAATTATGTGCTCATTACTGCTCTTTTAAATAGACGTTTTTTTCAATAATGCGAAGAATAAAATCCGTCATGGAATTAAACATCTGACATCTATTGTCTTTCTTCCGGAATGACTTTTTTAGCATCCGCTTGAAGTTGTCTTTACAAATTT